TTATCTAAATGAAAGACTTGAGACTTGTCAAAGCCGCTATTCAGCCCAAGCACTTTACTCGACAGAATTACAGAAAGCTCTACATGCCTTCTCACAATTCTCATCATAATACCTCCCATGTACCTTTATCAGCTGCTTAAAGGCTGAGCCCGCATTCAAATTTGATGAGTTATGCGGCTCAAATACTTCATAACAAGGTAGCAAGTAACCCCTTAGTGAAGAAAAATCAGAAAGAAATCATAGGAAAGGCTCTATATAGAACCCCTTGCTTAATGAGGTTGTTGTGCTCAAGGCGAAGAGGAGGTTGATATCAGCTGTTTTGCCTTATCACCTCACTCTCACCACTCGACGTGGAGAGAAGCAGCAGCGAAACAACCGCACCATCAGGTAACCATTAGAAATGAATGGAGGGCGGTGCCAATGATTGTAGGTTGGGCCAATGAGAAGAACGACGGCATCGTGGCCTCGTTTTTGCGCCGCGAAAGTGGTGTAGTTGTTGCCTCTGCGGACCTGACTACCTGCTCACGAAGGGAGAGGAAAATCTCAACTGAACGCGGACGCTGCCTTTAAGAAAGCATCTGCACATGAAGTGAACACAGGACGTACCATTGAATTGGTAACTGAGTCAGGGCCGACCATCCTCTATTTAAGAGCGGAACTAGTCAGTTAGAGACTTCAGGACATAGTTGGCGTATTTTGAATGAGATTTCCTTCAAATAAGAGTAATCCTGCACATGTGGGCATAACGGTAAAGGTTGAAAAGCTCATCTGTACGACCGTCATTCCTTCTCCCCAGTGTACGGAAGTCGGAAGTCGGAATTTCACTCTGTTGCGATACATTGAACGAGTATGGGCATGTCACAGACACTCTTATGCATGAATAGCACTGTAGTGGCTAGACGTGTCCAACGGTCAGAGGTTATCATCAGACCGCCTTAATCAACATTTTTTTTCATTTTTCTACATCAAAGGTACTGATCCCTGTTGCCCTTTGGAAAAAAATTGGAATAACAATGACCCTGTAGAGAATATGGCGCCAGTGTAACCCACTGGGGCATCTTGCTAATTCCTGCCAACCTGCCAGACCACTTCAAAAAGCCCTGTGAACTGGTGCTAAACTAGCGCACAGACAAGTTTTTTTTTGTCATGAGATATGGGCATATAAAAAAAGTAAAGTAGACGGACGGAGATCAAGAAGATGGTGATCAGAGAGATGAGGAGTTTTATCTATGCTCAGAAGAAAGGTCCCCAGGTTGATGAACAAGCTGTACAAAAAAAGATCTAACCACCCCAGAACTCCTTCATTACCAACCTAAAAGGAAGGTCCAATCATTCATCTGACTCCAGAATCGTTTCTCAGCATCTTTCAGCGCTAAATACCATGCATTATTCCAGAAAAATTGTAAAATGCCTCTCAGAGCTTACATGACGTCAAAAATGATCAAGGGTGTAGAGAGAAAAGAAAGGGCTATGAGAAATGAACCATGGGCGTATATGAGGCGGGCCGGGCTAAGGCCCTCGTCGTGAGCGGGTAGCGTCATTATTGCGAAAGGAAAAGGAGATGCTTCAGCATTTTACACTAGCGCCCATTTTTCGCTCGCAGGGGCCCACGCGTCGACGGTAGGCTACGGCAAACCTGGTTGTCAGCGCTATTTCGAGCTCGAGCCTGAGGAAACGAAGGGGTTACTTCCTTGGTGGGTGCAGACGACGCCTCTGGTTTTGACACCTGGCGGGGCACTATTTACCCTTTACTGCCCCAATCTTCCGAAAACAGGCCAGTTTTTGACCGACTTTTTTCTGCCTTGGCAGAATTGGCTGAAAATTTGTCTCCTGGGTAGTTTGACCTCCTGAACATGAATATCACATCCGCTAGGCACGAAACCTCCTGGCGCCCGCGCCACAGGCGCCGGCGCCAAAATACCTTAAATCACCAAATTCGCTGAAAACTTGTTCTCAGGGGTAGTCTGACCTCCTGAACACGAATATCACATCCGCTCGGCCTGAAACCTCCTGCCGCCCGCGCTACAGGTGCTGGCGCCAAAATACCCCAGATCACCGCGCCTGTGGCGCGGGCGCCAGGAGGTTTCGGGCGAATGTCATATTCGTATTCAGGAGGTCAAAATACCCCAGGAGACAACATTTGAGCCAAATCTGTCCACGGAGAAAAAAGTCGGTCAGAAACTGGCTCAATTCTGGATGGTTGGGGCAGTGAGGGTAAATGGTGCCCCTGGCGGCTGAATCCCCTTCAGCTATGGCTTAGTCGTCTTCGCATATAACGTACCGTGATTTAGTCCAACAATTGCTATTATAGCCGAAACGCAGAAGTGGAAAGCCTAAAATTCCACTCGCTCTTCCATTTTTTACTACGAACGCACGTGTTAGAAACATTCCGCACAAAATTAGATATAATATCAGCTTTAATAAGGCTTGGGAGAATAATAAACGACCGCGAACGCGATATTTTTGAACGACCGATTTTTTTTGGTGTACGGTATCGCTGCTGGTCTGCAATTGCGACAAGTAATTTTCAGGGAATTTTTGAAATTGTTTTCCTCACGCTCGGTCATTTGTTTGTGTTTTCGTTTACTTTTTGTGATGCTTTTGGTGTTCTATCTTTTATGACCTTATGATGTGCTTTACTGCCAACTAAGAAGCTGCTTATTTATCCGACAGAACTTGCAGTTACAACGTTGGCGTTAGAAAGACCTTTTGAGCGACCGCAAGCGCAATAGGCAGAAAAGAAGATTATAAGGTTTTATGCAAGACAAAATTACTTTGAATTGAGTCATTGTGAGAGATTCTCTTGGCTCAAGGGATACCTGAACTCGTCACATCATTGTTTCTCGTTATCACTGCTCTGTTAGTTTGGGGAAATTTTCGGCGGAATGACAGAATTTTTGTGTGCATTTGAGCTTCTTTTCGAGCAACAAGCTAGACCTCATTGGTTCAATAGTTCATATGATTAAAGAAATCCACATTTTCACGCAAGGAGTCTTGGGAGCTGCAAAATGTTGCGCGCTCCGTTAGTCCATTTTTTGATCGGTTGGCATTTGCAGTGTTTAAAAGACCCAAGAAACTATTGTGAACAAAGGACACTTGGTGGGAACTATTTTCCGTGATTAGAAAATAAATAGACATGGGTAGTAAAACTACTACAAAAGACTAAATGTTCGTTTTGTCTCTGTCCAAGGGGTTGAAGCCCCGGGGCCTAATCGATATACGAAACCATTTGGTGTTCGGCTTGGGATGGTTTTCATGCTTGCGTTAGTTCCTTGTGCTAGTTCCTGTTGAACTACACTTCTCACCTTGTTGGTAAGATCTGTAGACACTTGTCAAGTTTAAACAAACCTGCTGTTGCATAGCTTCACAAGACTTTGTAGGTCTCCACAGTGGTCGATGGGAACGCGCAAAATGCCCCCACAAGGCAAACTGCGCCATTGGGTATTACCTCTCCAAATCTTGTATAGTGAGCGAATTTGCTTGTGGTTTTGAACCGTTTCAGTTCTCTTCATCGAAATGCACCACAATTGTGGAGTTACGCCTAGCTGTTTTCATAAGTTCGGTTCCGTTACTCAAATAATTTTCCTTGGTATCGCTAAAGTTCTGCTCTTCAGTTTTCTCACTTTTTTTTCCTATTTTCTACATTGATATTTCAGTTCTCATGAATTTGAATGACATCGCTCGTTTAAAGGGATGCGTTCTGAAAGGACGCAGCTTGGAGACGTCATGTGGCTGCTCGGCCGTGGATTCCCTTCTCGGTGGCGCTCTACCGATTTCGACGTTCTTTTGTGTGGACGAATTGAACTCTCGAGGATACGCAGAAAGCCTTGCGAAGTATTTCATCGCTGAAGGGCTTTATTCCGGGCATGATGTGCTTGTTGTGGATCCTTTAGACGGAGATAAACTCTGGAAAGGAATTCCCACAAGGATTGAAGCTCAGCCTGCATCGACCTCCACGTCTCCTCTGCTGAGGCAGCCAGACAGTCCGGAAGATCTACGGATAGCTTTCCGTTACGCCGCCAAGCCTCAGGTGAACTCGTCCATTGGTGAGAAGAATCGCTATGACCTCGGAAAACCGCTCGACACTGACGCGTTTGTCTCTCAAATTCTTGGTTACGATGGGCCGACGTCTTACGATGCTCTTTATGAACACCTAGTGGATTTGTGTCGAAGCGAAACCTACAGTACTACTCGAGGTCCCAAGAAGAATCTATTAAGGATTGTCATTAATCACCTTGGATCTCCTGCCTGGAACGATCCTTCGAACTTCTCAGCGTTCCTCGTCCGTATACGTCCCCTTCTACGAAAGTCTTATGTGGTGCTGTTTGCCACAATTGAAAGTGAAACGATGTTCAAGAAACATTCTGAAGAGCTGTTCGTTACAGCAGACGTCTACATCCAGTTGGTTGCGATTTCTGAAGAAGAACAGAAGAAATTGAGCAGTTTGGACAAGTATCATGGCTATTTGAGAATTTTACGATTGCCCAGGATCACATCAGTTGGCACTCACAATCCGCCTGTTGATTTAGTTTTCACTCAGAAAAGAAATACATTCGATGTCTCTATCCTACATTTGCCTCCTGCTGTTGCTGATGGCGATCACAGCTCCAAAGCTCCCTGCAACATTGATTTTTAAGGATGATTGAGTTTATACTTCTTTACGAGTCGCGAGGATTGTCAAACGATCCACTATTATCGGCGGCAAAAGATAGCATCGTGTCGATTGGAGGATCCGTTCGGGAAAATGGGCGTTTCCGGGGAAAGCGTCAAATGGGCGTGTTCGGGGAAAACGTCAAAGGGTTGGGTGGAAATTGGCCGACTTCGTACCCTAGCGTTTCCCGAGAAATCGCTGTTTGGGAGAAAGCGGTAGTATACGGAGGCAGTACATTCCTATTCGATTCTTTGGCGCCGATTCTCTGAGTACGCACATTCCCTCGAACGGCGGGTCCTCCTAGTCGACATTAATACTTTCCTTTGTCGCTGATTTCACGGAATCGCCGATTCTCGCGAACTGCAGAAGGTATGAACGCAGCACGTTCATACTTCGCTTCATGTGCGCCAGCGTTATGCCAGGTTCTTCGAGCGACTTGGAACTTATGGGTATAGGTCTAGCGAACGCCCCTGTCCACCAGCGTCCAAGAGTGGGAAGTAGGAGGGAAGCAGACAGCTGTATTAGGCGTCATGAAATTGCGACTGTGCAACCGCACCTTACAACTGCTAAAGCACAGAATTATGCAATGTTGGTGTACGTGTAGTGCAGTTGCATACGCCGCAATTTCACGGCGCCTAATCCGGCAGACTGCTACTCTCCTACTTCCCCGTACTCTCCACTCCTAGAGGACGGTGGTACACGCTACACGCTAGATCGATACACATACTTTCCCAGTTGCTGGTGGTGGCGCACGCTCAAAACGCTGGCGTACGCGAAGCAAAGTATGAACGCGGCCTGACCTGTTAACTGTACTATTACATATCGTATACTCTTTTTATGTTGTTATTGTTGCCTTGTTGTTGAAATTGCATAAAGTTTAGGAATGAGCAATGGTGATGGAGGGTACGGAAGTGAAAAATTCTGTGAGCTCTCTTCTGCTGAATTCAGATGCTCAAGCAGCAACGAAAACGGAACGGTTAGTGATCAGAGTTTTTTTTGCTCAGAAGCGCGTTCAGACTTCGCGATCCTGGCGAAATCTGGATCCGCGTATTTGATCGCCATCCGCCGTGATCGCCGCGAATCGCTGTGATCGCGTGATTTGATTCGCCGATCGCGACTGTGATTCCGCGATCTGATCGCGCGATCCGCGCATACTGTGGGTGAAATTACACCGGGAGGGGATCATGTTAGTTCATGTTTATTTCCTGTTCTTTTTTTCCTTTTCCTTCTTTCTTCCTTTGTGTACATAACGCCCTCCTAATTTTAAGGAACGTTTCGAAATATCTTTGAGTTATTTATTATTTCCTATGTAAAATAGTACTAAATATACAATATGCTAATTATTATACTGAATTTTGCATCTGAGTACGTTCAAGCGGAGTATTGAACATCTTGTTCCAAAGACACGCAGACACTTCAAACAGCCGTGAGATGTTGTTTTCCTCTCGACTTCCCCCATTGCCAGTTCTCTTCAGAATATCCACTTACTTTTGTCCATTGTGTTTGCTTTGTTTGTTCTGCCATCCTCCAGGTCTATACACAACCTTTCCTTTCGACGGTTTCTGCAAACGTCAGTATTGCGAATATGAACACGGAATAAAAGACATCAAAAAAGGTCGAACTACTTTTAGCTAATCGTTTGGAAACATGGCAGAGATACAGCCGTCGATGATTGGCAGAAATGAGAACTCAGTACACTCCACCAGAACTTTGTTATGTTGTTGTTGAAGCTTGACTTTGAACACGAACGAACATGACCCCTCCCGGTGTAATTTCACCCACAGTAGCGCGATCGCGCGATCCAGATCGCGCGATCACAGCGATCGCGCGATCCAAATCACGCGATCCGGATCGCGCGATCGCGAAGTCTGAACGCGCTCTAACTTATTGGGCAGTAGAGCCCACCACGGTAGCCAATCATGAGATGATAGTGCTGAATTGGTTTTGATATTCCTTATGTATGTGCCACTGTGTTGTACTATTCTTTCGCGAAGCGCCCAGTAGACTATCCGTGCACACAATCGATTCCGTTGAAGGTCTCGCCCAGATAGCTACGCCCTTTTTTCTGCTGTGAACATGATTTTACTTCTACATTAAAATACAAATAAGCTTTCCAAATTTTTAAAATGACAATTCAAGTTTTTCACAATTTCTCTATGTCATCACAGTCCCAATTCGAAGTTATGTACAACACATATACTTGTCGAATTAAATTTCATGAATGATAATCTCGACCTCGCCCTCAACGACTCCGCATACTTGTGGAGGAATTTATTAAATTCTCCGCATTACAAATTTGATCACATCGAAAATGCTCTTTCCATAATTTTTTTACAGAAACTTTTGGCAATAGTTGTGTAAAATACGAGTCTGAACAGGGAAGTCGCATTCGAATGCATTTGTCATCGAAACGTAGCATCACTAGACGTGTTTCGGACGCGATCTGAATCAATGCCATTCAAAAACCTTGCAAAAGCGATCTCTGAACCGATTATGAGGCCCGTCGTTTAACCCCGCACACACGTTCATGATCGGATCCCTGCTGAGCTTAACTTTTTTGCTTGTTGCGCAAACGTGGCAAAAAGTGATTTTGCCGTCACTACTACTTTAGTTCTCACCTGAGCTTGTCTGAAGAAAAAGTCTTGCCTCCATTATTAAGAGTAGCGTTTGGACTCCTTGTAAAGAAGCACTGTATTGCACCACAGTGCTAGCAAGGAGTCCAAAGCAACAGTAATGAATGAGCAAACTTTTCTTCAGACAAGCTCAGGTGAGAACTGAAGTAGTAGTGACGGCAAAATCACTTTTTGCCACGTTTGCGCAACAAGCAAAAAAGTTAAGCTCAGCAGGATCCGATCCCATGAAACTTTCGCGGGTAAACGCGGCTCCATAACTCGGTCAATCGCTTTGCAAATTTAAAGGCAAGATCAAGATCAAGCGCCCGAAACCACGTCTAGGATCTACGTCTCCATCACATTAATGGCCCACTTCGCACTTGACGAACTCCTTAGTGGGAAGGTAGAAGTTAGAGAGGCAAACAGGAATTGAGGGAGGGGTCACGACCAAAGTCTGCTGGACGCACCGCTTTGGCCATCCGACGGTTGTTGTTTTTGCAGAGAGAACGAGCCGAAAAAATAGCGTGTTCTGACTCAATAGAGAAAACACAATGAGGATGTAGTCTTGTGCAGAAACTTGCTACAGCAAAACTGCCTTTTTTCCTAACGAAAGTACGCACATATCCTCAATCCAACTACACATAATTTTTGGACGTGTCGGCGGAATGGGAGGCATCTCACGCTTTCGCTAGTTTCTTTTGCTTAGACCTGTTAAATTAAACGTCTCGCCCTGGTGAAACATGTATTTCCTTGTCAAGTGTGACTGAAATCATGCCCCTAAAGTGCACAGCCTGAACAGACAGTTCACCAGGAGGCTAATCCGGCAGTGGATCGATAACCGTTAAAATGCCCTCTAAACGGACTACGCCCTAATTTTTTATCCTTTTCGGATTGGTGTCAGAAGAGAAAGCAACAATTATAAATCGTTGAACGGTGCATTTTCAGTGTGTAACAAACAAACGTAAAACTCCAAAAAAAGTTTAATGGATAACTTTGAAGTTAACATTGTTGTTACACACCAGAATAAGAATATGAGAACTCCGGGACAGGCATCCATAGCTCCGATGTGCATTTAGTAAGCAGTCCGTTTTGCAAACATTCTGAGCGTTTAATCCTATCCGGAAGGTGAGGGGAGGAAGATGAGATAGGGTTTCCTTTAGTCGTTCACTGGTTACCTTGCCATTTTTACTTATGAAACCCTTGTTCCTGTGAGCTGGAGTTGCACTCGGTCGAACCTCCAAAAGCCTTCAACTTGCAGCTCAAAAATAGCTCAATTAAAAATGAATCATCATGGTTTATAAGAGTTGACGGGTACTCTTCACAAGGGTAGACAGGTGGTCTAATAGCAAGGGAATTTTGGCTGGTATCATTTCATGGCTTCACAAGATTCACAAGGGTCCACTTGAAAGCTGGCTCGGCTGGTGGGGAAGAGCAAAAATGCGCAATACCACCATGGTCGCCGAACTGTCCCTTTCATGTTCTATAGAGAGTCTCTAAAAGGTTCGACCACTACAGGACACTAAAACCCCACCTGAATCTTTCCACAAAAGAGCCTTTCATGCCTTCTGAGGGTGAAATAATTCCCCTATTCTGTCGTTACTACCTCCCGCAGTCGAACTCGCCCAGATTTTTTTCATTTGTAGCTTCGGGATTTGTTCCTTTTTGTTGTACAATTTCATTCTAGTTCCAATTTTGGATACCATAGTGTTTTTTGATGTCTAATCAGCTGAGTATTTGGTAATCGTGCGGTGACTAACAAGACGAACGCGCCTAAGCGTCCTCGCGTTTGAAAATCGAGGTCACTTCGGAAGCGGGGATTTCGCTTTGTTATTTTGAAACCCGTTCCGCTTTCTTCGGGAGTTATGAATGTGGTTTCTTTATATATTTTAAAGATTAGCTTCTCTTATTGAGTTCACCTGCATTCCAAATAGGATTTAGTGGCAGTTCTTTTGAATTTAATGCTGCAGTAAAAATAGATCTTAAAGATGAGTCATTTTGGTTCGTTTTTATTTGGCACTAACAATCTCACAATTTTAGTAAATAGTGGTCGGGGGATAATATACGGTTGAATGGAATAAATATGTTGGCCGGAGAGTCTTTATTTTATTTCTATTCAATGGTCACACCCAGTGTAGATCGTAAGGTGAGCATCCCGAAGGAGGGGGGGGGGCATTTGCTTTTGTGAAGAATGTTTAGGTTGCCAACCTTTCTCGGTCACTCTCGTTTCATCTGCGCTAAACCCCACCCCCAGTGCGAAATGCCCTTCCCCCTCACCGAAGTGCGCCGTTCACTGGAAATAGCTTTCTTGTGGTAGTTTCTTAGGAGTTCTTAGCCTTAGTTTTTCATTCTTTGAGATTGTTTGTTTACTTTGTT